CCTAAACCCTAAACCCCAAAAGCAACAAAGCTGAAACGCCGACCGTGAGCTCCTTCACTGGCAACTTCGTCGTCGACGCCGTGGGTTTCACCAAAAAGCTTTGCGCGCGCACGGTTTGGGTTTAGGGTGTGGGGGTTTGGGGTTCAGGGTTCAGGGTTTAGGGTTCAGGGTTTAGAGGGTTTAGAGGGTTTAGGGTTTAGGGTTTGGGGTTCAGGGTTCAGGGTTTTAGGGTTTTGGGTGTAGGGTTTGGGGGGTTTAGGGTTTTAAGGTTGGGGGTTTGGGAGTTAGGGTTTAGGGTTATAGGGTTTATAGGGTTTAGGGTTTATAGGGTTTATAGGGTTTAGGGCTAGGGTTTAGGGTTTAGGGTTTATGGTTTAGGGTTCATAGGGTTTAGGGTGGTTCTCATGCGCTCTCTGTTTGAGACCCTGAACCCGAAACCATGCGAAGCCCTATGCTTGATTAGGGCTTCAAGGGTTTCGGGTTAAGAGTTGAACGTTTTTTAGGACCAGGGTTTCGAGTTCAGTTACCTCATAATCACTTACAGCTCCAATTAGGGTATTTGTAGCAACTCATGATAGATGATCCTTTCTGGCTAAATCCCATGTTCCTCCAAGTACGGTCTTGGCTTCATTCTAGGACATTTTCAGGTGGGTAGGTACCGTCATAGGAGCCTTATAGAAGGTCTATATACCTTATAGAAGCCTTAGAGAAGCCCTATATACCCTAAACTCCCCACCTGTAGTTTCCTTTAATTCATGGTCCCAAGGTTGGAGTTTCAGGGTCAGACCAGTAAGGCAAGGTTTTCCTAAACCCTAAACCCTAAATCCTAAATCCTAAACCCTAAACGCTAAACCCAAACCCTAAACCCTATAAACCCTATAAACCCTATAAGCCCTATAAACCCTATAAGCCCTATAAACCATATAAACCCTAAACCTTAAACCCTAAGCCGCAAGGCAAGCCTCGCAGAACCCCAACATAGCAAATCCGGCAGCCTCAACCCTATGCCTTACCCATAGGCCCCATAGTAGTTCCTGTTTAGGATTCCCTAATAGGATCCTAAATATAAGCCGCAAAAAGGAACTACTATGGGGCCTATACCCTAAAAGCCCTAAACCCCAAACCCTGCAAAGGACTTTAAAAAGCGCCGAATTTCGAGAACTACCCAGATGACTACCGACCTCCCACAGCTCACAGCGGAGATTACCCGCAAGCTAACATCCATGGTCCTATCGGCTGCGAATGTTTGGGGGTTTAGGGTTTAGGGTTTCCGGGCTTTTGGGTAAAATGACTGTGTCGTAGGATTGAAGGCTCTACGGGGTTGTAGATGGTAGGATTTGTTGACATAGTGCTCTGCTGAGGGATCCTAAACGAAAGCCCCTGCTGAATTAGGCCCCCCCAAGCCCGGAAACTCACAGCTCACAACCCCAAGCCCCAAAAAGCCTAAACCACGGCTTAAGGGTTAGGGCTTAGGGCTTAAAGCTTAAAGCCCTAAACTTGACCCCGCTTTTTCGCCTTGCGTGGCCCTAAACCCTAAACCCTAAACCCTAAACCCTAAACCCTAAACCCTAAACCCTAAACCCTGAACCCTAAACCCTAAATGGTGGGTTTTGGGCTCGACTGTTAGCGCAGCCATTGGGGACACATTCCTCCCACCACCTCGGTGATCAGGCAGAGACTCCCGAGTTGAAGGATCGCTCTCTTTGCCTAAAGGGCTTAGGTTTAGGGTTTAGGGTTTAGGGTTTAGGGTTTAGGGTTTAGGGACTCCCGAGTTGAAGGATCGCTCTCTTTTTCTTTCTGTATAGGGTTTCGGGTTTATGGTTTAGGGTTTAGGGTTTAGGGTTTAGGGTTTAGGGTTTTGGGTTTTGGGTTTTGGGGTTTAGGGTCTAGGGGTGGGCCGTTTTTCCCTTTTTGGGGGTCTTGGGTTGCTTATGAAGCCGACCCAATACTAGAATTTTCCCTTCGTGGGGATGTTGGGTTTGCTTATGAAGCCTACCCATACCAAGAAAAAGGAGCCCTTTTTCTTCCTAGGGTTCTTGGGAGCCTAGTTCAGGGCTTGTTGTGTTTTGGCACATTTTGGCTGTCCCAAGGTCCATCAATCCTTGTAAGAAGAACTACAAGTATCTACTTGTTGGTAGGTTCTCGTCATGAACATCATGAGCCCTAATCCAGAATTTCTACGAAGCTTACACAAAAAGGGTAGCTGCATACTCCAAAATTCTACGCATGTTATCCCGTAACGCCAGCAGATCGTCGAAACCTTCGGGAGCCCTGCGAGCCTTTGCAAAGCCAGTACGAAAGCCCGCCTACAGTGAGCTAGGTTCCCCAGTGGTCCCGTTTGCCCTTTTTCTTTTCGGGTTCCCTTATCAGAGCCAACTAGTAGGAAAAGGGTATCAATCTTATTAAGGCGCTATCGGGGAACCTACTCAACATCGTCGAAGACCCTATCAAGCCCTCACAAAAGCCTGAACAAATCCTTCCAAAAAGCCCTATAAGCCCCTTACTTAAGAACCTAATCCTTGCAACGCCTAGACCGTTCTGAAAGGAACCCTATTCCACTTCTGCAGCCCCCCGAGACCCTGAACCCCAAACACCTTCTTTCAAAGGTAGAGGCACATCCTCATGGCTTTCTGGGTCTTTAAGGACCCTCTTCTTATCAAGACCCCTCTACGACAGAAGCCAGAAAGTTGGAACATGATTCTCCTCATGACTTTGTGGGTCTAGGTCCCTTCTTGTTAAGACTCCTTTGCAGCAGAAGCCAGAAAGTTGGAACATGATTCTCCTCATGATTTTGGGTCTAGGTCCCTTCCTGTTAAGACCCCTTTGCAGCAAGAAGCCAGCAAGTTGGAACATGATCCTCCTCATGTCTTTGTGGGTCTTAAAGGACTCCTCTTCTAAACCCTAAACCACTGTATTACCCTAACCCCTAAACCCTAAACTCTGAATCCTAAACCCTAAACCCTAAACACTAAACCTTAAACTCTAAACCCTAAGCCCTAAACCCTAAACCCTAAACCCTAAACCCTAAACCCTAAACCCCT